TAACTTGTAAACTATATTTGTGACCTCTTCCCCTGACATGGATTTGTAAAATCCAAGGAAATCACATTTTAGGGTGGAAAAGCCAGCTTCGGCATGAATTGGTCGGCTCGACCGGAATGATACCACGGCCTCATAGAAAAGCACACCACTGTTGTGTTTCGCGGTGTGAGTGAGGTTACCGGAGCCCCAATCCCTTCCCAATCTTTTAATATTCGACACCCTTATCCCTGAAAGGCCGACAACGCACTCGTAACTTCTTTGGTGTAGCGGGTGTCCATGGGCGTCGCCGATTTACCGCCGCGATACCCGCAACATCAGAAAAGTTACGAGTTCATTGTTGGCTTTTTAGAGATTACGGTTCAGAGATTTACACATTGGGGCGGGATGATGTTCAGAATTGGTTCGAAATCGCTCAGATTTCCTTTAGATGTTTTAACCGTCTGTTAGTGATTTTGAAACAGTGATAGAAAGAACATTATAACTCAGATAATGGATCCGTACGTGCATAAGAATGTAGCGCCTTAACCTTTTTGCAACTACGTAGCACATTGATCACTTCCACACAATTATATCGATGACATACATATGACTCATGGCTGATAGTTGAACATTTTTTGAGGAGACAATTTAAAATGTCTTTTCCCTCCCTGTGGCGGGAGAGTGTCCTAACTGTCCATCTCTTACTCTGACTAAATACTAGCCCGTTTCTTCTCCTTCTTCAAACTGGAGCAGCGGTTCATTATTGCGCTTGCATCTTGTCAACTTTAGGCAATCATAGTTTCGGATAAGAATATGCGTTCTTTAGAATTATTAAGTCTTTCTTAACTATTGCTTACAAGCCAACGCTTAAAATCAATGTGAGATTTGAAAACGCTCCACCCAATATTGTTCGAGAATCGAGTTTTACAACTCGTAAAAAGTTACGATTTTACTTTATTGTTCTGTAATTTTTCTCATTTCAAATTACCTCGTCGAGACGACGTATTTTGAATAAACATTATTTTTAAATGTGTTCTCTTAAGAAAATAGACTTATAATTATTTTTTTGCTTCGAAAATGAGTAATCTTTATTTTCATTTAGAAAACATTAAAAATGGAAAATCGGCATTCAATTGTATCAAAAGTTCTTAATTTGAACGCAAGATATTTATTTGACTTTTAGTTATGTGATAAGTTAATGACTACATTTAATAACACGATATTTAATTAGTATGTATTTAATATTCTTTAAGTTGTACATTTTACGACATACAAAAACATGCAATTTACATATGTAGGACCACTCGATGTGTCGCGCAATGAGACGTATGTATGTAAATTAGTGCTTAGATTATAATGAATAATAAACGTAATTGCATAGGGCATAATGTTTAAAATTCGACTTATTACTCTGAGTTTATTCAACATCGAAATATTAAGCAAAATATCTTCTGCTCCAACAAAGAGGCAACCTACATTTTAGCTATCAATGCTAGAATGTTGCAGTGTAACCTTATATTCTTTTTACTGTTAAACACTTGAAGTATCGGCATTTTAACAGTCAGCAGTAGGAAGTTACTGGCACAGACTTGACACTACACTAACCTATTTGGCAGCAGTCGATATTCGCTACATTTGCGTATATTATAAGCTGAGCATGCCATATTGATATGTGGATGACGTTAGGAAATGGAGACCAAATGATAGGAGGGTATGGCTCAGGGCCAGCTCAAACGTACGTCTAAAAAACAGGTCATCTAGATCACCTAGTTGTGAAAAGTAAATTCGTCATCATCATCATCATCAGCCTGTAACAATTTTCCCACCGCTTAGAAAAGGCTTTTTCTTATACGGAGTATGTTTGAGCATTAACCACCACGTTCACACGAGGTGGACAGACGATTTGAAATGACAAGAACTCTTTCAAAATTAATTCCTACACTGTAGATAGATCAAGCAGAGTGTCCACTTGTTAATAAAAAAAATATCACTTTATAAACTCTTAGAAACATCAACTATTTATATTTTAAACAAAAGTTCTCAATGTCTATTAACAGTTGTAATTAGTTTTTTCTTGGAACCTTTCAACGTTGGCGTCGACAGTTATAACTAGCTTCGGTTAAATGTTAGTTTATTACTCTGCGAGATTTCCATCAAGTTTGTTTAAACGGTAGTGGGTACTTGTACTGGTGTTGTGATGGTCCCGAGTTTGAGGCCCACTTCTTATGCTCGAGCGATCAAAACCAGGAAAGTTCCAATGTGACTAGAAAGCTTGACCTGATTAGTTATAAGTATATATTTGAAGTGCATTTAGTGAACTTATATTTTCTAAATACAAATTTTAGAAATCACCAATCCGTTTTTAGCAAATGTCGTAATGCTAAAACTGTCACTGTGTGAAAGGAGGTCTTTGATCAGGAGTGATGATGTGCGGATTGTATCAGATGTTTGTTCCAAATGAAATGAAAAAAATAATAATATTTAACTGGCCACAGATAGTACATAAGATTTAGTCGTTATATCAAAGACATGATATGATGTGATGATTTTTATGATACCAAGAAGTTATTCGCAGTGTCTAACCCTCACCTTATCTTGAGTTCTCGAAAGTAATTATTTCGACAACAAAAAACAAAGAACTTTATAAAATTTCTATGTAATCTGGCTCAGTGGCACCCGGGGACAGGCGATGACCTTCGTTCCCTAACATATCACTTTATTCTACTGAACATAAGTTCACGACGTCAGGTTTGTCAAATATTCAGTATCCATTGCGGCATTTTGCCCGTATTGTCCTAGTGTCTTCGAAGATAGTGTGCAGTGAATTTCGATATTACGTTTCTGTCGTAAACTTACATGTTCTTGTATTATTCCAATCGTAAGTAGTGTTTGGATCAATATTATATCTAAAAACTGATCAGTCCATTTTTTATCTTTACGAATGATCGTGAAGACCCGTCTTGGGTGGATAGCCGTACTAAAAGAAATAAGTAACCTGTCACTGGTACTTGTGTAGGCCAATCTTTACTGTGTATCATGGTTGAACAAACGTCTATGATAAATCATAAAACATTTAAATGAAATTGAACTTTTATACATTACTAAAGTACTGGCATAAAACAATTGGTATTTTTCTTAAAAGAACATATTTTTCCACAATTTTAAACCTTATGCTCCTGTGATTGTTATTAACATTGTGTGTCCGCCTCAAAACAAGACAATATTGACATCTAGGTCTAAACTAACATACACATTACATAAAGATATCAGACAGTCACAGTACGCATCGTCGCGTTGGTACCGGCAAACTATTACGGCTGTTAATACTTCATTAACTCCGATGGCTGCGAACAGGTGATAGCAGCATGCTCTGCATTCAATCATTATAGCCACGGTGTTTACTGACAATATTACCGTGTATAAACATTGGTTTTATGTTTACACAGGTAGCTTATGAAACATGTTATTACATGCGGGTGTTAGTCCAGTAATTAAAAATGATTCTGCAATCTACATAGTGCTATTCGACAAAGCATGAAAGTTCCATTCCTGTTTGAAATTTTCTTCTTACTTTTAAAAGTGTTTTAAAATACGACTACCTTGTTGTTTAATGGCAAGTCAGGGCAACGACTAATCAGGAGGTTTTTAATTCGATCTTTGGGTGAGTAGGTTAGTTAAGGGCTCAAAAGTGAGATTTCTGGGTATAAAAATAAGTTTTTCGATTTAATGCTTCTATCGTGTCTCGAACACCACGTTTGAAAGGTTAATATCTCAATTAAAATAATAAAACTTTGGCAATAGCGCAGTGCTGAGTTTCAACATACTACTATTCAGTGTTGAACTTGTAAGCCCATTAAAACTAAACGTGGTTACATAGTCCGAAATTAAACTGAAATGAAAGCTTCTGAAAACGTTCAGGTAACTAACTAATCACCATTTCAGCGAAAAAGTTTCCGTATAGTAGAATACTGTTTTAGTTGTAATACCGTGCACTATCCAAAAAGCGATTTTTGGATAGTGCACGGTTTTAGTGCCAAGCGTTTAATTATTCAATTGGTTTATATTTAAGTACCTACTGTAAAGGGATCTGCAATTATTTCATGAATAAGCACAAGAATAAATTCGAGTGCAATCAATGTCGTTTTTTGACGTTTCAAAAGTACCTATTTAGTTGGAATAAATGATTTTGACTTTGACTTTGTCTGTTACTGGTAGGACGCATACAGAAATTACTATAAAAATAACGAAATTACACTATGTATATTTGCTATTTTTTTACTAATAACTACGAATGTATAACTGCAAATATTACATAGTTGAACTAAGTGATGCAAGTATCGTAGCCCCGGCACTTAGCAGGAGAAGGATCTGGTTGGTTTTTAGTAAGTGCAGATACAATTTATTACAAGCAATGCAGTTTTTAAAATACAACGACTTAAATCAGTTACTGTATTATTTGTGAGTGAAAATATAATTTTATAGTAAGTGTTGCGGGTTCGATTCCCGCATGGAACATCTGTTTGTGTGATCTACAAATTGTTTTTCCGGATCTGGGTGTGATGTGTATGTATGTGAAATTGTATATTTGTAAAGAAAATCCTAGTTAGTAGCAAAGCTTTTTTTTAAATCTCGAAAGTTTCTCGACTTCAGAAGTATTGCGTTGATTATTAGGGATAATATAAGTATCCTAAAGTTCTTAGCCACATTTTATTTATTTAGTTATTTATCAAAACATCATGCACAATAGGTACAAGGTAGACTTAATGTCATAGGCATTTTCTACCAGTCGAACCTTGGGTGATGCAGTGATGAGCAACTAGTTGGAGCAAGAAGCAAGCATTATGCACACTGTCATCCATTTTTAATAGAGTACAACCACATTGTACGACTTAAATATTTATATTATGAATCCACGCCTTTTCATTCGCATCAATAAGTTTTGTTCTCGAAGCCCAATCATCAACTACCACTCAGTCGCCACGTGGTGAAATTCAAATGTCAGCTTTCTGCACCAATATGCATCAGTCCTCCTTTGGAACAATCACATCATTAATCCAGTCCAAATACAAGTCGACTGGACTGAAGGCTGTCCACGACACGTGTGTAAAGGTAAAGTACCGAACAGAGAAGGTTCCTACAATCTTACCGTCAATCAGAAAGGGACTCCCAGAATCTCCTATTATAGGAATGTGCTTCTTATCTGAACATGGCGGCGTAATACACAACAGATATGGTGACCAGGAGCTGACAGGAGGACCACATTTAATGACCATACCGTGTCCCACTTGCAACACTCGATACAGATCACTTCCCAATTTATCCGTTTCGCCACCCCCAACGTAAACTGCAGACAGGCCGATGAGCGTCGTGTGGTCCACCGATGATAACTTCCCATAAACTGGTATGCTTATCCTGTGCACTCGTAGCAAAGCTATGTCATTGACTCCATTAAACAATTCGTATGTAATAAATGGCATGTCGTGGAAGGCAGGATGCTTTACAATCTCCAGGACCTCGGAGTACTGCTTAGAGATGAAGGGAGATTCTGTGAACTTGCCGAACCAGACGACGAGCGTGTTGTTAGCGTGCTCGCCATGGTTACTGAAGATATGCGCAGACGTCAGCACCCAGTTTTCGGTAATGAGGGAACCCGACGCCACTCTGTAAAACTCTTTGTTAGGAGTGATACCTGCTAACAGAACCACGTATGGATACTCTCCTTCCATCACATCGGTACCTTTCTGGATCCTCAATGATTGATTCAATTTCTCGTTTTTAACCCAAGTCCTTTGTATGTAATAAGATAGACCTGCAACCGTATTTGTAAGAAATAATAACATTATGAAAAAGCAAAACATGTTTCAAAACTTAAAAGAAATGATTTACGTAAATCGTGATAATGTAAATAAATTGAAAGTTGTTAAATTATAATATATAACCGCACAATCCTATTCCACGAGTAATCATTTTAGTGATGGCTAATATCGACACTGGTTTGTGCCCTGGTGTTGTTTATGTTTTTATACTACACCTCCCATTACTTTAATCGCTTAAGAACTACACAATTCGTAATAGTTGTTAGTTGTAGTTACCATTTAGTTTAGATTTTTAGTATTATTTTATTTTCTTCTTTTTTTTGTATTTTTGTTTTATGTGTGTGCGCTTGCGCAAAAATAAATGTTTTTTCTTTTTTTCTTTCTTTCTTTCTTCTAATAGTTTATTAAAAAGCGTATATTTTCTCTATGGCAGAGACGTGGCATAAATACCCCATTGAAAAAAAAATATTTTTATGTCACTCATTCAAAATATGTAAAAAATACGTTTACAGAAAGACATAGCTATCTCACAAAAATATGAAAACAATTAAAGAGCTAGGGAACAAAATAGAAAAAAAATACAAACAGACAGATAGACAGCATTGTTTGTAAATATAATAAATAAGTTGGACGAGAACGAGTTTGGCAATTGTCGTTATGGTTTATGGTCGGCGCTGATTGTTTGCTATGAGGTGCTCGTTTTCCTCATATTTAATTAAAATTTGTATATTTTTACATCTTACTCATCCGGTTTGACTGAGAAAAGCTCTACTAGTTTCAATACACAACGGGACTCTTAATAATAAGCAGCAACATGGCACAGGTTTCTCGGTTGATAAACGTAAGTCGTTTTTTTAATAAAATTAAATTTAATAATTAAAACATAATATATATTCTGTGACATTACCTTTGCCTATCTGCACTAATAACAGTTTAGTAAATAAATAAAATTTACAATAAGTATAGGTACAAGTATTGCATAGTTCAAATAAAATAACATCTTTTTAATTCTAGGTAGAAGTTTGGGAAGTAGTGGATAAAGGTCGAACGAAAAGAAACCACCTTTAGGTCTTAAGCTCGAAAACCAGTCAGCTGCTGCAGTATCTGAAGATGGCTATGAAACTCCAGTTCTTGATGCAACATTCTTAGATGTTTAGAAAAAAGCTAATGGTGTGATTTTATGCTTGATGGTATGTACTGCTAATTAGGCAATACCAATCTATTACAAACCAGTTTCTGTGACATGTAAATTCCCGCCCAAAAAAGCTAGTCTCGAATTTATTTACAACAATAATAATTATACATATTGGTACGGTAGTAAGGAACCTACAAAACAAATGGAACTGAAGTATTTCTGTCTTTATTTAAGTAAGTAATATTTTTAAAACTTATGCGTTGGCTAATAAAGTCCTACTTTTTAGTTGCCTTAAAGTCATGTTGCCACTGGACATATATATGGGTTTGCAGCTGGATATCAGGTATGGAATCGCAGTTTTCAATCGGGTGCAGGTTTATCAGAGAGCGGTAATACACGGTCTCTGTCGATGTGACTAAGGGAATATTTCTCGGTTAGGTGTAAGGGTAAAAGATTCTGCTGTTTTTCTAATCTGAAGTCAAACAGAAGCTCTGAATGTTTCAATAAATTATGTCTTAATAACTCATTAGTTTGCCCAAATGTTTTGGTTTCTAGATTTGGGGATAGTTTGCTCAATATTGTGTAGTTATTCGAAGATTTTGGTATGATAGTAGCTGTGCATAGTTTAGGGTACAGATTTATAGTGTTGCGTATTACAGCGACGGTATGGCAAGAGGATAAGGGAAGGAATGTAAATAAGGTAATTTATATTAATTTTTACGATATATACCATTTTATTTCTATGTAAAAATGATTGAGTAGATAACAACAACAAAAAATAGTAATCTATATTGGACGTTGTAATTCCAAACAACAATACACATACAATTCAAATCGTCACTGATCTCTATCTAATTTAGTATACCGGGAAATTGATAATTTCAATGTTTTAGTAAATTATACTATATTTATAAGCCATTGCCATTAATAAACAGTTGTGAAGCGTTATGTTGGTGTGATGGAATCTGTTTGCAAGCTTCGTATCTGCCGAGTTGAGGGTGCAAGCCAAATAATGCAACCAGTAATGTATGTAATGTAAGACAAAAAACTGTGTAATTTTTAGTCAGTAAGAGTTTGACACTCCCTCTTGCCCGACCCAGTAGTGGCAAGATGATTTTTCCTACACGTAATATAAATTTAAAATTAAATAAACTCCGACAAAAAAAACATAATCCACCTTTAAAAAGTAAAAATTTTGTATTGTACACGTAATGCGCTTTCATTTGACACCCCATTGGACCATATTTATAGACATTCGGTAATTCTTCCCCACTTTCAAGTTTTAAACTAAATACTTTTAAGTAAGGGAGAGCCATGCTTTGGCACGAATGGGTCGGCTCGACCGGAGTGATACCACTGCCTCACAGAAAACCGGCGTGAAACAACCACAGCGTTGTGTTTCCCCTCCCTCCCCCAATCCCTAAATCTCCAAATCCCTAATCCCTAAAAGGTCGGCAACGCACTCGTAACTTCTCCGTTGCGGGTGTCCATGGGCGGCGCTGATTACTTACCATCAGGTAATCGGTCTGCTCGTTTGCCACCTTATTACATAAAAAAAAAAACTTTCAACCCCCACAAATTTTATACGGCTGAAATGATTATCAAACATGTCTATGAACACTCTCATGCAAGTAAATAAATAAATTCATTGTAAGTAAAAAAAAAATATTGAAATCGTTTCATCCGTTTAGGAGCTATGATGCACCAGGCACACAGACAGACACGACAAACTTATTATTTTTGTGACGTACAAGTCATAACCTTTCATTTGATACCCCACTTGAACATATTTGCAGATATTCGGTTTTTCTTCCCCACTTTAACCCCCCATAACTTTTAAAAGGCTCAATCGACTTTTCATCGAACATGTCTAAGAAAACTCGCCCGTAAAACACCGATTTCAATTTAGTTCTTTTTGTATTACACAAAAAAAAACTAAATCGAAATCGTTTCATTCGTTCAGAAGCTATGATGCCACAGACAGACAGACACGACAAACTTATAACAACCCTCTTTTTCCGTCGGGGGTTAAAAAATGGTTCATATCTACGATCTTAGACTTATTATAAGTCTTGAGTGTCATATAACACAAAAACAAATATGGCGTGACAGCTGTTAAAAATGTTAATAATAATAGAAAGCCACTTGTGATTGTTAAAAAACGGTAGCTTAATATAATCCAACTATTAATTTCCTGTTTTTTATGAGATACTACTTTTATGGCTATATTTTGTATACGAGTTTTATATAATGTTATTGTAATAAAATTTTACGATCGAATTATATTGCTTGCATACTTGAAATTGTGCCTGTACGTTTAGTATAAGATACCCCAAACCAATTATAAGTATACTTGAGTGTACGTCGTGCGGTTCTCATATTTTGAATATGTTTGTGTGGGAGAGCCAAGCTTTGATACGAATTTGTCGGCTCGACTGTAGTGATACCACGGCCTCATAGAAAACTGGCGTGAATCAACCGCAGCGTTGTGTTTCGCTATGTGAGTGTAATTACCGGAGGCCCATTCTTCTCCTCTCCCATCCCTCTCTTAATCCATAAATATCCGAAACCCTAATTCTCAAAAGGTACCCACTTGTAATTGGTTTGGTGTTGCAGGTATCCTTGGACGGCGCCGATTTCTTACCGTCAGGCTATCCGACTGCTAGTGTCCCAATAAAAAAATGCTCATACTTTCACTCATTTTCCTACTTTTGTTTGTATAATATAAATATCAATGAACTTGATAATAAACAAGGTACAGGAAAAAACATCGAGCAGGTCCAAATAAACAAGAATAATAATAATTATCTTCATATTTTTAAAAACTTGAAACTATGCATTAATAATGTATCATCGAAATTTCAGTAGCTACAAATGTATAGCTTGGAATATTGCCCGATGCTTGGCAAATAACGCGCGTAACGTATAATGTACGCAACGTCCTCAAAGCGAATGAATTCACTGCACTTAATGCAGGGACCGCACAAAGGCACCATAAATTCAAATATTTCCCCAAAATAAAGTAAGTACGTATGTACATATCTGCATTCCGAATGCTCTGCTCTTACTCCCAAGCGAGCTAAATGATTCGTAAAAGGTCGATAGAGGAAGTACGCAATGCTAAAATAAATGATAAAATTTTGCAGATTCCTTATGATGAACGACCTTTGTAGAGTTTGACGTTATGATTTACGTGAAAAAATATGACTCCTCTCCTCTTTGCTCATACATTTTCTTGAAAGATTTAAAGTAAAATATTTTGATTGCATTTCTTTTATTACATTTTCGACTCAATCAGGTTGATTAATATTGTATGTTGGAAAAAAAAATACAGTCTTCATTTACTGCTTATGCTATCTGTGGTGGAGCGTATGTGTCGAAGTCAAGAAGGTGAATAAAATGGCTACTACGTCGTAGCAATTGTTTAGGAACAAAATGGCAACTAAATAACAGTTTACGTAATCACAAAATATCTTTCATTCCTATTTTTTAGGGTCATCCTATGACTTTACCCACCCTGAGTGGACGATGGAAATTGTCAGACTCTTACCGACTAGGAACTACATACTTCTTCTCCTGGCAGTCTGATGGCTATTTGAGCGCTGAGCATCGCGAGACTCGCGCCCTTGTGTTGAAGATACTCTATAGTAAATCTTTATTGTTCCAATAGTGTGAGTGTTTATTATAAGTATTGTAGTTTTGCCCAAACGCACTGGCCAGAAACATAGTTTAAAGATTTGATACAAAAATTAATACAGTTTACAATAAATAACCTAAACCGTCCGAAGCGACGTAAGATATCTCTGAATTAGTAGTAGCACCTGTAGGGCAGATGGCACTTGGAGCAGAACATTTGAATTTAGTTAAATTATTAAGTTGACATCTGCTGCTTCAAGGTTAGGAGTTAAGTTATTAAAGTTAAGATCAGAAACAATTAAAGTTTATTATAATTAAAATGGATTTCGTACCCGTGTCCCCTGCCAAATTTAAAACTGTATTACAGTGTAATTGTAACAGTCATTCGTGCCTTCTTTATTTTTCTAGGACCAGGCTTTTTGATAGTACCCACTTACAATTATTTTCATAACTCAATATTACAGAATCCTACCAGAACCTTTGACCCAGGCATTCAACCAGCAAATAAAAAACCCGAGTCTAGCGGTCCAAATGAAATAAAAAAATTTCGTCGTTTAGTGTAAATTAGGGAATTTACGAGCGGATTTATCAAGGTCAACTGTGACCTAGTGCGTTGGCCGTATCGTACAAATTAACTACCTTCCTACTTTTGAACGGTAAAACATTTATTCTCTTAAAGTAAATAGATCTTTATGTCTTTCCCAGCGGATCCTTCAGGGAGTCAGGGATTTGCGTCGGATCTTTCATCCGATGTCCATTCTTTGCAAACGGTTCAGCAGGAACCGTTTTTATGTCGTTCCGTCGTAGGTACTACTTTATTTTTATTTTCCCTCGATTTTTAAGATTGAGTCTTGACAACCAATTAATTTTTATTGGCCATAGTAATTTAAACGTGATAGAAAATTTTACGTTTGTAATATTAATAGGGTTTGATGAATGATAAATATTATATAATGAATAATTGATACATAGCTTTGAAATATGTTACGGATACTAAACTCCGTGGCGTTGACGTAAAACCTGGCACGTTTGTGGTTATGGAACCAATGTCGATGAAACAAAAATATCAATAAAGATCCGTTTTATGAGATCCCTAAGCAGTAGGTATGTACTTAGCAACATCGACGTCAGAGAACAAAATATTAATTTTCTCACTATTTGCTTAGGCCGAAAAAAACAGGGTTCCATTAAAATGATTAAAATTACATCGTGCAACCACAGAGGTCCAACTTTGAGAAGGGTCTAAGTCAATTTGCGAATTAATTTTACGTTATAGCTCGGGGATGTTATTTTAATTGGTTACTGGTTATCATGGTTATAAAACCTTTTTTAACGTTTTATGTGTTTTTGTTTTATAAAATTAACTTGTAATTAATCAAAGGCCGATATTGTTTTTATTTGGTAATTTTTAAATGCTAAAGAACCTTCTTAGTTATTATTCTGAAGCTTGACTTGTACGTGTTTCTGTAAGATTGTTTCATGAATTCTATTTTATGGAAATACGGTATCATTACCACTAGTCTTTAAGTGCGTAGTGCCGTTACAAGAAAATGGCTGACATGGATAAGGAATGAGCATTCATCACTACATGATCACCACGCTTGCTCATGGCGGATTGGTGATTTTAAGTTTAGAAATCGAACTCTTAATTTCACTTATCCTCACGTCTTTTTCCTTCACCACTTACATCAAGGGTGTTCAAATTGCCTTGCCATTTTTGAACCCCTCATCTAAGAGAAGCAGGCGTCTCAACCTTCAGCCTATGTAGACATGTAATGGTATTATGAATATATGTACACTTGAACAGTATATATACTACAACTATGTACAAGTATAAACTAAGAGCAACTACCTGTAGATCACAAAGGTACTAGTTCCGTGAGGGAAATGAAGCCACAGGGTGTTTGTATTTACAATCGTCAGTTGTAAGTAAAGTTTTCAGTGTTTCAAACCTCGTCTGTGTTATGTTAGAATTTGTGGAATATCTCGTTGGAAGTACGCATGTGGTTGCTATCTGCGTACTATTCGGAGAAGTATTATAGGTGCTTAGTTTTATCCTACTATTTTGATAAAAAGTAGCCTATGACCTATTCCGAGTGTATCTTATTCCTGTGCCAAAAATCCAGATCAGTCCAGCCGTTTTGGTGTGATTGGGTAACAAACATCCAAACATAGTAAATTTTCAATTTATAATATTGGTAAGATGCGATTGCATGAAAAAACTTGTCACAAAAAATGTAACTTGATCGATCTCCGTCGTCAGAACTTTTTATACATAACTTAGGTGCTTTATAAATATTAATGTTAACTGGAAGATTAGGGACACAGTCCGTGAGTTCCTGGAGAGCTAAAATTAACATTATAATAAAACTGATTAATTATCGTCCAATAAAACTGCTTTGTTTTAACGGTAATATTTTTGTAAGTGTTTTTAGTTTGTGTGTAAGGTATTGCAATTATAAATCAATTAAGTACTTAAGATTTTCTTCACCAAATTTAAACTTTTCCCTGTCTTACTCTTAAAGTGACTGGCGTTGATTTTTCAACGTAAATCTAAGTCAGTCAACTAGATCATTGGTACCTAACAAGATGTATTACGAGCCACTGAACGCTGTGTGCCTGAAAAATCTGGGAAAATTGGAAAAGCACGCACCACTGGCGCCGATGTGGGGCTGGAACAGAGCCATGCTTACCTGAAACAATCATAAATATATTTTTTAATAAAACTTATGTGTTTAGATATACTTTAGAAAAGAAATATTTTTTCCTTGCTAAAACACGTCTCAATAAAATTTTGCTATAATAAGTATTTCAGAGTTAGAATTTGACGTAAATGTTTATGTGCCATTAAAATTATTTCTTCATGATATTATACCAGCATTCTTTTTTCATTTGTGTTACATAAAGTGTTTAAGAATTAACAAAAAAAATATACACATTACATGGCAGGACATTAAAAAAAACACGAAATATATAAAATATATAAAAAATAATTAGCTTAATACTTTTAGTAATGTTTGACAGAGTATTTTAATACATATTATACAGCTTTATCCAACCGCAATTATTTTACTGTCTTAAAAAAGACTTATGGATGGATGTGCACAATTTGAAAATAAATCGCTTGGTCACATAGGCAAAGAGTTAATGTCCAAATTCTCAGTGATATCTTGGATTCTGTCTCTCTTTAAGAAAATAAACGAGGTCAAAGGAAAAGTTTCCTTAAGGGAATATTCTTTAACTTGAAAATAAGAAGAGAATTCTTAAGCAAATGCATCTATTCTTTTCAAAGGAGATATTGCAGTTCCGATTGGCCTAGCTTGAACAATAGATAATCTAGATGCTCACTCAATCTTGTACGTTTGTATTTGTGCGGTGTTCTCAGCTAGAGACAATGAAAAACGTGCACTTTTTAAAGTAAATTGAATTTTTACATTACATCATGAAGGTACTGTCTTTTAGTAAAACCAATACATTACCTCCATTATTTAAAGTGGAAACTTCTTTAAATGTTAATTTAAAGACCGGGGCTAGGTTTTTATATGGTGGCAGATCACCTGATAGTAGGTGATTTACGCCGCCCACGGGTCGTCCAGAAGATTTGTAAGTTGTAAACCTTTTGAGAATTGGGGAATTAAGGATTGGAGGTCGGTGAACAGACCGGATTATGCCTCCCTTAACCACATCAACAAGGCGGAACACAACGTTGTGGTGGTTTCACGCCGGTTTTCTGTAAGGCCTTGGTCGAGCCAAGACATTCGTGCCGAAGCACATCTCTCCGACAGTTAAGTGAGTGACAACTAAATTCGCCTTTTATGAGTCACCGAATATACATAATGTTACGTGCCTGACGTCACGTTCCTGACTATGCGGGCTTGGGTTACGGGATTGGATGAAATGAAACACTAATACCGGTTTTCAGACTTTCTATTGCACTTAAGTTACAGCGTCCACGGAGTTAAGTTATCGGCGTTCCTCTCCAGCAGAGTCCGGCCGACTGACACAACTTTGCCGTTCACGCTGACTTAACTCACTTAACTGACTGCACTTCACTATTTCACTGCACTTCACTATTTCACTCACTTTTCTTCTTTCTCACTTCTTCCTTTTCTTCCGAATCGCTTTAGACTTAGAACTCAACTGCCAGCGGTGAGCCGCAGTTCCGCTTATATACCCCCGGTCAGGTTCTAGAACATTCAATTTCGTTATTCTTTTTGATCGTCATGCCTCCAGAATCTTCCAATAATTTCGTTATTCATTTTTATTTATTCTTCTTCTCGCTCCTTAATTTTTCATCACTTTCACTCAAATATTCCAGAAAGTTCGACAAAACTTCCATCAACTAAAAAACTTCATGTTTACGGCGGGACTCGAACTCGGGGTCTCTGTGGTGTAATCCACACGCCTTACCGATTACACCAACTCGTGTTGACAATTCACGACGAAATTTACAATCTCTAGGCAACGTTTGACAACCATCCATTGACGTCATGATGTCAAAGAGTTTTCTGTCACACTGCCCCCCTCTTAGATTCGCTCGTCCCGAGCATCGTTGCTGCCGTAATACCTCGCCAACCTGTCTATATGGACAACTTTCAAAGGGCTCCTTGAAGACTTCCGAATTCTGTAAGTAATGTCATTGATCTTCGTGACTATCTCGTAAGGACCTTCCCAACTCGGTTGCAGCTTTGGAGATTTTCCCTTCCTTCTGACTGGATTATGAAGCCAGACCAATGACCCCTCTTCAAACCCAACAGAATTGGCTCGTCGATCATAGCGCGTCTTTGCGCGATCACTAGCTTGAAGACCGGCCTCCCTGATCTGCTCATAAATGTCCAACATTTTTGCCCTTAACTCGCTTATGTAATCGCTAAACTCGGTGCGAGAATCACCAGGTGGACAGCCCGATACAAGATCTGCCGGTAATCTCAATTCCCTTCCAAAATTTGCAAATGCAGGCGTCTTTGCGGTACTTTCATGTACAGCAGTCCGATAGGCAAGCAAGAAGAGAGGTATGTAAGTGTCCCAATCTTTCTGATGGCTGTCAACCACCTTTGCTAAGTGTCGCTCCAATGTTTGGTTGAAGCGTTCGACCATTCCATCTGACTGTGGATGATAAGGGGTCGTTCGAGTCTTATGGATTCCCAAAAGTTTACAAGTTTCCTGGAAAACTTGGGATTCAAAGTTCCGTCCTTGATCACTGTGCTTCTCCAAGGGCACTCCGAATCGGGTGAATACCTCGTTTACCAACTTCGTGGCTACAGTTACTGCCTCTTGATTCGGTATGGCAAAGACCTCCGGCCATTTTGTAAAATAATCCATAACCACTAAAACGTAGCGATTGCCCGAATCAGTGATTGGAAATGGTCCAGCGATGTCTAAGGCTATTCTCTCCCAAGGCATACCAACATTGTAGATTTTCATCGCCCCTCTGCTTCTTGTTTGTGGACCCTTGACAGCTGCACAACTAGTGCATTTCCGGCACCAATCTTCGACGTCATATTTGCAATGCAACCAATAAAACCTCTCCTTGATCTTCACCAAAGTCCTCCTAATTCCCAAATGTCCTCCAGAAGATCCATCATGGAACGCTTTTAATACATCCCTTATTTTTGAACGAGGCACCACCAACTGCAAATGCTCGTCCTTGCCGTTTGTTGATTCCCATTTCCTGCACAGAAGTCCGTTATGCAGCGTGAGGCTTTTCCACTGTGCCCATAAACCTTTCGTTACCGCGCTATATTGGGCGACGTCACTCCAACTTGGCTTGTTACCACTTCGTAGCCACTCCAGTATTGGTTTGATATCTGCATCTCTTTCCTGTTCTAATTTCATCGCATCATCTCCCCATGCCTTGTCAACAGTATCAGTCCTTATCACCTTAAGAAAAGCAGTTTCCTTCTTGGCACAATGCTTGCAATCTTCCACGCATGGGCGTCTCGATAATGCATCTGCGTTGCCATGAATTCTTCCGCCGCGATGTTCGATTTCAAAGTCAAATTCCTGAAGTTGTTCCAACCATCTGGCTACTTGGCCTTCGGGATCCTTAAACTGAAGCAGCCATTTCAAAGCAGCGTGATCAGTTCTGATCAAAAATTTCCGTCCCAGTAAATACTTCTTGAAATGGTGCAGAGTTTTGACTACGGCCAGCAATTCCCTCCTGGTCACGCAATAATTCTTCTCCGGCTTGGATAGTGACTTGCTGAAGTAAGCAATAACCTTCTCCTGCTCACCATCGCGTTGTGAAAGGACACCTCCTATTCCAATATTGCTGGCATCCGTATCAACTACGAATATTCCTTTCGCGCTGGGGTATCCGAGAATTGGTGTGTTACAAAGCCGTTCTTTTAGTTCTCGAAAGGCTTGCTCACAATCCTCGTCCCAGATAAAGGCACGTTTCTCCTCTGTCAATCGATGCAAAGGCTTGGCAATGTCCGAGAATCCTTTCACAAACCGCCGATAATACGAGCACAATCCAAGAAATGCCCGAACTTGCGTTTTGTCTTTAGGTGTTGGCCATTCCTTAACAGCGGCAGTCTTGGCTGGATCAGTCTCAATTCCTCTCTCAGAAATAACATGTCCTAGATAATTCACTTCGCGCTTGAAGAAAGAGCATTTCTTTGGACTCAACTTTAAATTTGCTCCACGCAGCTTATCGAGTACCTTTTCCAATTTCCTTAGATGATCGTCAAAATCCCGTCCAACAATGATGATGTCATCGAGGTAAACTAGGCAGGTTTCGCCCAGCAGTCCCGCCAGCACCTGTTCCATCAAACGCTCAAAGGTTGCCGGTGCATTGCATAATCCAAATGGCATCACCTTAAATTGCCAGAGTCCCTTCCCAGTTGAGAATGCGGTCTTTTCCTTGTCCTTGGGATCCAAATCCACCTGCCAATAGCCGCTTTTCAGATCGAGCGTTGAAAACCATTTCATGCCACTCAGTGTGTCAAGTGTGTCATCGATTCTTGGTAACGGGTAGCTATCCTTCTTGGTTACATCATTCAATCGTCGATAGTCTACGCAAAACCTCGTTGAACCATCTTTCTTCTTGACAAGCACGACAGGTGAACACCAAGGGCTAGAAGAGGGCTCTATCACGTCATTTTTCCTCATATCGTCAATCATTTCTTCAACCTCTTTCTCACGAGCGAATGGTATGCGTCTGGGCCTTTGACGAATTGGCATTGTATCACCTGTGTTTATTTTATGCTTCACTAAACCAGTTCGGCCAATATCACCATCGCTTCTTGAAAACACATCAGAGAATCGAAGAAGTAAATTTCTAGCTTTCATAGTCTCCACTTTTGTCAGACTTTTGTTTTCGTCTAAGATTTTCGTTACAAAGTCTATTCCCGTACTGTCCTTCTTCACAAGATTCTCCGAGCATTTTCTTATCCAGGCCACTTCTTCCAATACGCCCACAGGCTCTCCTTCTTCAATCGTAATTTTTGAATCACTGAAGTTGAATACCGGAATGCGGTTGACATCAGATGACCCCACGACAGTTCTCGCCGGTAGCCATGAGTTTACGTGTTCCGATTTATCAATCACAGCGCACCTTAGAGGTAAACTTCCTTCCCTCCTCCTAGGTAATGCGATTGGTACGAGAGTCTGTGATTTTGGTTCAAGAACAGTTCTTCTTAAACAGCAAACTTTTCCCAGGGTTCCACCCTTCATCGGAATTTCTTCAGTTCCACATAGTAATACTCCAGATTTTAAGTCGATGTTACACTGGTGCCCTTGCAGGAAGTCAAGTCCCAGGATGCAGTCATCCAGAATTTTGGCCACAATAACCTCATGTCGATAAACACGTTCCCCAATTTTGATTGTTACATGCAGTTTTCCACTTATCGGTATGCACTGGCCGGTAGCTGATTTCATTCGTAGGCCAACAATTGGTTTAACGTGTTTCCTGATGTTTTGCCCGAGCAGCCGAACATTTATCACCGTCCTTGAAGCTCCAGTATCTAATGTTAGCTGACTGTTTTTCCCATTTACTTGACCGTCTATCACCAGAGTATTTCCATCGCTAGTTTGCTTGATGTAGATTGTTGGGGTTATTCCACTACCAGCCTGCTGGTCAGAAGTTGAGACCGCCGCGTCCTGGCGGTTCACCTTCTTCGGGCAGTCGCTCCGCATGTGCCCACGCTCTCCGCATCCATAGCACATGAAGTTCCGACGGCGTGGAGGTACCTGCTCCGTTGTCGTCATTTCCCGCAGACGTAAGGTACGGGAGTTACCACGCACGGCTTCCACTTCCAATGCATGGGCCAGAGCTTCTTTCATGTTCTTGTGATGGCCCAGATGAACAGCAGCTCGTACTTCGGGGTCCCGAACACCGTCAATGAATGCTTGGAGAAGCGTGCCTTCAATCATTGATGGAGTCGACCGAAAAGCTCGACGCACAAGTTTCTCGATTTCCACGGACCATTGCTGTAGACTCTCATTAGCACGCTGAGTACGCTCTTTTAATTGCGCTCTGTACACGTGCTCGAGGTGGCTGTCTCCAAAACGTGCCTCAAGTGCGTCGAGGAGGGTACTAAAGCTGAGATCCCCACTTGCGCCGATAGCTTCCAGCACTGAGAGCGCTTGATCACGGAGGGCCAGGGTGAGGGCTGACTGTGCTTCCTTCTGAGTCCAACCATAAGCCTCCATAAGTGTCTCAAACTGTAGCTTGAACGCGGTCCAGGATGTTGTTCCGTCGTAATGGGGAATCTTGAGCCCTTTCGTTGCGCTTGAGGCCGCATTTGGGGGGTCAAAAACGGCTGCAAGACGGCTTCGGCTCTTCAAAGGGCTTGGGCTTGTCATTTCCTGCTTGATTTTGGAGATCTCTTCTTCCACTCTCTCCTCTATGGCCATGACGCGATGTTCCAACTTGCCTAACCCTTCCTCCACTTCCTGTACCCGTTCGACAGCCTTTTGCAGTCCCTTCGTGAAATCCTTATGCATCTCTTTCAGCTCCCGCAGCTGTTCTGCCTGACAGCGCGCTTGCTCTTCTTGGCGGCGCGCTTGCTCTTCTTGGCGGCGCGCTTGCTCTGCCATCATTTGCTGCAGCTGTAGCAGAAGATCCACCTGCACAGGCTTGGCTTCTGCATCGCTGGTTTGAGCTGCAGCACCCTCTTCCCTCACACGCTGCGCTTCTGACATTGAACGGGTACTCACTCCTCTTACGTCCTGCGGCACTAGCGGCATTTTTCTCCAATCCCACTTCTGACACCAAATGTTACGTGCCTGACGTCACGTTCCTGACTATGCGGGCTTGGGTTACGGGATTGGATGAAATGAAACACTAATACCGGTTTTCAGACTTTCTATTGCACTTAAGTTACAGCGTCCACGGAGTTAAGTTATCGGCGTTCCTCTCCAGCAGAGTCCGGCCGACTGACACAACTTTGCCGTTCACGCTGACTTAACTCACTTAACTGACTGCACTTCACTATTTCACTGCACTTCACTATTTCACTCACTTTTCTTCTTTCTCACTTCTTCCTTTTCTTCCGAATCGCTTTAGACTTAGAACTCAACTGCCAGCGGTGAGCCGCAGTTCCGCTTATATACCCCCGGTCAGGTTCTAGAACATTCAATTTCGTTATTCTTTTTGATCGTCATGCCTCCAGAATCTTCCAATAATTTCGTTATTCATTTTTATTTATTCTTCTTCTCGCTCCTTAATTTTTCATCACTTTCACTCAAATATTCCAGAAAGTTCGACAAAACTTCCATCAACTAAAAAACTTCATGTTTACGGCGGGACTCGAACTCGGGGTCTCTGTGGTGTAATCCACACGCCTTACCGATTACACCAACTCGTGTTGACAATTCACGACGAAATTTACAATCTCTAGGCAACGTTTGACAACCATCCATTGACGTCATGATGTCAAAGAGTTTTCTGTCACAATAACATATACACCTTTAGAATCAAGAAAACATTTGCAAAGGAACTTAAAACAATAACAGCCACAAGACTATAAACACTCTTTTTTACACCGCAATTCGTTACGTCTACCTTTCAAAAACCCGAACTCTATTCACGTTGCATTCTTTGAGGAGGAACCGGAGAAAGTTGCATAGTCAACCTTATTACAAAGGCAACAGGCTACAATCTTTCACGGCACAAACACCGCTTCCGTCGGTTTGTCTGATTGTGCCTTTTATACTTGAGTTTCCTGCGGTGAACGGAGTCAGATAGATGGTCCAACTGGCTATGTTGTTAAAGTAGTAATGTGTAGATATTATTATGTTTTTTTGCTATTCTAATATAAAAATTATGATTTGGGCTCCGATTACACTGCCATAGCGAAATGCAACGCTGTAATTGTTTCACGCCGGTTTTCTGTATGGCCATGTTATCACTACGGTTGAGCTAACCCATTCGTGCCGAAGTTGGGGTCTCCTCCATGCTTGTTTTTTATCATTTTATCATAATTATGCATTTTGTTTTACTGTAAAAACTGCCTATGTCAGGTTAAAATTAAGCCTAGCACTTCACTTGCATTAAAACAGGTGTATTGTCAAAATAATACAAAACTAAACTTAGAGTTAGAAAGGGACATTATTCTCAGATTTTTAGTCATCTACATTTTAGTAGCTTTTCCAGGTAAACGTATGTGTCCCGCGGGATAGTTCAGCTCAACAAGAACAGCTCAAGGACAAAGTTGGCTTTGTATATTAAACCCTGGATTTATCTAGAGTGTATTTGCTCCATTTTAAAATTTTTAATAGAAACAAAATGGTCTTTTTGTATTGTTTCACAGTAAACTTACCTCCCAGGTAAATATTATAGTTAAGATAGTTTTTCAAACAGATAATTTTGAAATAGTTTGGGGCTTGTAACGTATATAGTTTTGCTAATTCAAGTTGTCCCTGTTGAATGGTAAATTTTTGTTCAGTAAACAAAATTATTAACAGAATAGTACAAGAATCCGGTTGCAGGTCAAGGCTATATGGTTCGCCGTCCCAGCCTGGAGCAAGAGAAGGTTGCTTACTTTAAGGTACTGGTGGTTTTTAGTCAATAAGAGTCTGACACTTCCTTTTGCCCCTCGCAGCGCAAGAAAAGAAAGTTGAAGATTTTCTGCCACTTCCAAAAAACAACGGTGCAAGAATGAATCAAGAAAAAGTTTTGTAGTCGATAATTTATTAGTCAGTAAATACATCGCAGTTGAAGTTTCCTCGAATTTTCACGCTGCACCAATTTCACGAACGATCTTTCCATAATTTTCTATTTTCCGTTCACGCTTAAATTGCCCAGTCCAGTGTCAGGTAACGTCCATATTGTGCTTTTTTATTTAAAAAAATATAACAAATTGCTTGACATTTTTCTCGGCTCGCCCCTACAGCTACACATTTTCGTTTCGTGAGAGAATTTATTTCGTGAAACTTTGTTCAGATTGCAGGTTTACCCGCGTTTATAAAGATTTGGTCCATTATTAGAAGGAGGGATTCAACAATTTTACTCTTTGTTTAGCTTATAGTCTGTACTTTTGTATATTAATATAATTAAAGTAATAAAACAACCACAGCGTTGTGTTTCGCCGTCTGAGTGAGGTTACCGGAGGCCCAATCCTTCCCCTCCGCCAATCCCTCCCCAATCCCTAATCCCCAAAAGGTCTGCAACGCAATCGTAACTACTCTGTTGTTGCGGGTGTCCATGGGCGGCGCTGATTGCTTACCATCAGGTTATACGTCTGCTTGTTTGTCGACATATCACATAACAAAAAAATTAAAGCAAATATCGCCTAACCTGACAATAACTATACCAACAACATAACCATACAATAGATTTTTATTTAAATAGAAATTTGTTCGCATAAAAGCACCACCAGGACGCGATCCCGGATGTACGCAGTTTAATCTCGGCCACGAATTTGAACATACCGCACAAACATGACTATATCCGTTCTGGAATAGTTTCACGAAGTCGAATCCAATTGGATATTTTCGTTCATCGCTACTGAGCTGGCGGGCTTAACAGAGGTTTAACCAAATAACCACACACTGCAATATGCAAGGATATCTTTCTGTAAATGTACTGTCGTGCATATTGAATATATTAAGTAAAATATAAAAGTGTGGGAGAACCAAGCTTCAGCACGAATGGGTCTGCACGACCACATTGATACCACGGCTTCACAGAAAACCGTCGTCAAACCTCAGCGTCGTGTTTTGCCGTGTGAGTAAAGTTACTGGAGGTCCTATCCTTCCCCTCTCCCCATATCTATTCAAACCCTAATCTCAAAATCCCCAGAAAGATGGCTAAGCACTCGTTATCCCTCTGGTGTAGCGGGTATCCATGGACGGCACTAATTGCTTACCATTAGGTAATCAGTATGTTGGTTTGCTCACCTATTATTATATTATATACTTATGTGAACATTGCGAAATAAATGTTTTATTCATTCATGTGTATTTTTTTTCATTCTCGTATGTAATACAACTGGTCAAATTTATGAATTTTATTGAAATATTAAAAAAGATGGATTTACGTCAAATAACATATTAAATTCTGTAAACTCAGATAGAAAAAGTCTAATATTACTTATATTATAAGCAAATAAATAAATATATTAATAATAATGAAAGTATGGTTAAATTATTTAAATAGTTTCTACTGAAAATTGTAACTCATTTTTGACTTACGAAACTATCCAATCGTATTGAAACTTAACGTAAAGTAAGACTAACTTATAAGCACTGACAAGTAGCACAAAAAACCAAAGGTACTTTACTAAGTACATTTGAGTACCGAGTGGGCACATAATTATTGCACTTTGCTAGCATCCAAAAGTAACAAAGCGAAGGTTCGGAGCCAGTCATCCAGTGAAGTAATATAATTATTCATTATCATTTTAGTAGATACTCGAGCGACTCGGTGCTTGGCGTACTAAATGACATAAAATATTAATTCATCCTTAAAAGTTGACGGCAAAGGGAAAATTCATCAAAAAGTTTTTAAGTTAATTAATAAGGAAATAGTAAAGCTTTTAAGGCCGTAAAAACCGCAATTTATGGGTGAAATATTTAGATGGTTATTACTTTTCTAGTGAATAGTTTATAACAAAAAGAAAATCCGTTTAAATATTGGTCATCTTTTTATAAAAGACAAAAAGGTTTAACAACACAGTGTACAGTGCTATTTAAGTCGATCGTTGATTCATCGTACCGGTTCCATTTTAGTACCTAGTACTTTCTAAGCTTATGTAGACGTCACTGATCTAATTTCTTATAATAGGTTTGAAATTGCCAATCCGCTTTGACCTAGCGTGGTAATTATTGCTTAGAAATCCTCCGTGTAAGAAGAGAACTTTGGTCAGCATTGGCCACTTATAAGCTAATGATATCATGTATGATGTGAAAAATTTGATCGTGATCAGAGATAACAAATTGAACAATGATTTTATAATAAACGTCAAAATTTCTTTATAAATAGGAGCAAAGCTAATTACTGATAGTCTCCATTTAACAACATTAATATGAGCTCTTCTGAGAACGTTACAATAAATCGTGCCATAAAATCCTTACTCAGATTTCGGAGTTATTTTACATGAAAAGTTTGGAACGTTCAGTTTATTACTTGTATAATCAAGTGGCTGAGTTTATAACAATTCAGCTATTTCTTATTAACAACTAATTAAAACTAGTTCTATCTAAGTTTGTAACTGTGTCCCATGGGAGCGACGGGTGATTTATATTGCACAGCCACGAGATCGAGTGCCTTTATGAACACAATCGCCTTCACCACAAAACTTTTTTCTTTTATGATGGCAACATTTATTATTAAAACTTTTTATCTTCTTGTTTAAGCTTAGCTGATTAATTTACTTGATCGACGTTGGGGGCAGTTCTGGTTTATAACACTCTGAAACGTTTACACGTTGATTGATTGATGTCGATTACATATTTTATTAATGGCTTTTTTTTTGTTAGATATTTCTGACATAAAAGTTCCATTAACATTTTTGAAGTTTGATAGGTATGGGATTTTGTGGAACTCGATAATAAACGATTATCAGTTAAGCTAATTAAGTGTGGGAGAATCACACTTCGGTAGATATGCGTCCGCTGGGCCCCATAGAACCCAGAAACAACCAGTAGCGTTGTGTTGCGCCATGTAAGAGATCTTACAGGAGGCCTAATCCTTATCCTCCACTCATTCCTGCCTAATCTCTAAGTCTCTTTAACCCTATCCCAGA